AGAGAAGTTCAGAGTTTTACTGTGCAATCTCCCACACAATGGCTGGGTTTACCTCTTCATACCGCACAGGAATCGCTTCAGCTCTATCATTGTTTTGTTACACAACACAATAAGTCTAATCCAGCGGATAACAGCTCTTTACCTGAGCATATCAGCTGAAGTGGCAGACCAAACAACGGTAAATTATGCATAGCAAGCAAGTATTTTATTCAGAAACTCCCAATGTACAACATCGTTAGAGCACTTAATAAAAACATGTCTTTAACTGGTGAGAGTATCACTAACGAGTGCCGAAAAAGCTCAGCGGCATGTGGATACGGTGGAGTTTATGCTTATTCGACTTCGTTAGATCTAAAAACTCATAAAAATAATGCATAATATTTTCTTTTTCTTGATCTCGCTGCTAAGACAAAGCTTTCTGAAAGGGCTATTTGTATAGTTTCACTTATGCGTCACGTGACATACGCAATAACCCACGTAAAATATTAGACAAAAAAAATAGTATAAAAATATAATAAAGGCATTCTCTCGTGCATGCCCCTTGTCATGGAAGGACATTTTTATGGGAAAGAACACTACTTTATGAAACATTCTTTTATGTACTGTTATGCCTTTATGGTATCATACACGGACATTACTTCCACGAAGAGGAAGAATTTTATACAGGGTGTAAACGTTATCGTAGTCATTATTGAAACGGGTAATAGGTGGGGTCAAAACAAGTGAAACAGATCATATGACCCATGGTCCAAGAGTCAATAGATTTTCGTCTAAATGGCTTTATAGTTTACAACTTTATGTGCTTTATATCGACCACAGTCACCACAATCTTACAAATTTTTATAATCTAATCTAAAAAGTTTTTAAATTGGGTAATTAACAAATCAATGGCATTAAGTTTTTCTAAGCTAAGCCAAAAATGACAACAGCGCGTTGGCCATTCATCACTCTTATCGAACCAGCAATCGATCGCAAACGCTAACAGTGGTTAGTTATCGGGTATCGGGCCTGTTGTTTTGTTTTTGTTCGCGTACGTCCTCGTCTTTATTTACAATGTTCAATCAAGAGTTCGCCGACATGTTGCTAGTTTACGGTGAAGCTAGTCGGAATTCCAATCTTGCAGCTCAAATTTATCGCGACAGATTTGGCCAACGGGTACATCCAGACAGAAGGACATTTGTGCAAGTGCA